AAACAAAACCAAAATTCAATCAAGTCACTCCCATTAACCAAAATTCAATCAACTCACTCCCATTAAGTCAAGTTCTTTGTGTCCTACATAAAAGAAAAGTTATGAAACCTCGTACTTCTTTGTTGGGTAAATAAAAGCTCTAATACTTCAACTCTCTCTCTCTCTCTCTCAGTGAGTGCGTGTTTTGGAATCCTTATTCACTTTTATTTCTTGCATTTTCTCAGCAACAAACCAATTAACATGATGTATATTTTAACAAGTAGATTATAAACTGACATATATTTGGATAGAGTGTGGGTATACCTTTGATGATTTGGGGTTTATTGCGAACATCGACGTGAAAGTACTCGGAGCGACCGGTCGAGAAGGCTTGTGATAGAATTGAATCTTTCTCTTCGGAGGAATCGAGTTGGAGAGACGGAGTCGAATCGGCAACTCGGACGGTCCAATTGCCAAGTTTCAAGAGCTTCAACACCAGCGATCTTCCAATGAGGCCTCGGCCTCCAAGAACCACGCAGGTTCTTAATTGTTGGTGATGATCGTCTATCTCCATTTTCTTTATTTTCTCGGCGATCAAGAAAGTAAGGAAAGTAAGATATGTTGCAGAGAGAGAGAGAGACAGAGAGAGAAAGGGTGGTTGGGAGACGAGAAAATTAATGATTCTTTATAGAGTGAATTACAAAATACCCCCTCTAAGTTTGGGTCATGTTGCAATCAACTCCCTTAAGTTTTAAATTCAATAATTTGCCCCCTTAAAGTTTTTTAAGATTTAAATTAATTGAGAAAGTGGATGAAAAATACAAAATTCCTAAAATACCCCAACATCTAATTCTATTTTCTATCTTCTCTTTTAATCCAACCCCATTTCCCCAGCTCCGACGAGACCTCCAACCCCTTTCCCGTACTTCAACGGTGTCCCCAACCCCACCTCTTGCTATGGCCATCCCCCACCCCCTGCTTTAGTGATGCCTCCCCCCCAAAAAAAATCTTTTCCCCCTGTTCTAGCGATGGTGCCCCAACCCCACCCTTTACCTTTTACTTTGATAGTCCCCCAACCCCTATCTTTTACTCTGACAGTCCCTCAACCCCCCACTCCCTGCTCTAGCAATACCCCCAAACCCCTTTCCCCTGCTTCAGTGGTGGCGCCCTCAACCTCTACCTTTTACTCCGGCAGTCATCAGACCCCCCACCCCTGCTCCAGCAATGGCCCCCAAATCTCTTTCCTTTGTTTTAGTGGTGGTGGCCCCACCTCTCACCTCTTGTTCCGATAGTCCCCCAACCCCCACCCCCTACTCCAGTGATGCCACCAAATCCCTTTCCCCCTACTCTAGCGATGGAGCCCCGACCCCCCTTTGCTTCAGCAGTCTTTTAACCCATACCCAATGTTAGTAGCACCCCAAAATCCACCTCCACTAGCCTTTCCCATATCGGTACAAACAAACTCCCAAGCCCCCACTTCACAGCAACCATTGAATCAATCTAGTCAACCATGGCACAACAACAATTGGATCTAGTCGTGTGTGTGTGTGTGTGTGTGTGTGTGTGTGTGTGTGTATATATGTGAATTAAAGGACAGAGGAAGTTGGGTTTCACCAAAAGAGGGGAGTAGTTCAGTTGTTCGAGCATGGTGGGTGAGGCTGGGTTTCACTGGAAGGGGAGAGAGTTGGGATTTCGCCAGTACAAGTTAGGGTCGAATTGAATTTTATTTTATTTTTTTCAAAACAAAAGATTGAGATATAGGTAGTTGTACTTTTGATCAATTTTAGATAATTTTTATATTAAATTTCTGTCATTTTTAACGGTGTAAACTAAGTGAGGAGTTAATTAAAAAAATTCGGACATTAAGGGGCAAATTGTCGAGTTTAAAACCTAAGAGAGTTGATTGTAATATGACCTAAACTTAGAGAGAATATTTTATAATTAACCCTTCTTTATACATAGATAGAGTGGGTACTTGGCGCCGAAAATAAGAAACCTTTGATTACGTGGGGCTTAAGAATCAAATGGAGGGTGAACCACCGGATCTAAAACTTGACCTGTTTCTCACTTTTTCTACACAGTTTTATTTTATTTTATTCTTTTGATTTTTTAGTAACATATTTAGGGCAACGAAATAGTTTTGTGTGTATTTGTGCATGCCTTGTCCAAAAAAAAAATAGTTTTGCTCTATAACAGCTCACACATCGAAAGTTTCTTTAAAATCACACTCGTTATGTATATTCTAATCTTTTTTCCATAGACTATGAAAAATAAAAAAGAGTTGGTAATTAAGCGTCAATTATTTTGGTTATATGTCATGAAGTCCCTCTGAACAAAAGAATAAGTGAATCGTCACTTTTGAAAGCAAGCAACTCTCTATCATTTACTTATATTGCATTCTATCATCTTTTATTGTATTATATCATATCAGACTAAATGGATCTATTAAGTGATGAGAAAGGGAAAAAACTCTAAACATATATTTTTTATATTGATAGGAATCAACATTCATTCCTAGATTCCTGCATATTTATTGTCAAAACAATTCACAAATATAAAGTTGTGGAAATTACACACATAATTTGACAAAAAAGTACGAATAATAAAAGAAATGAAAGCTAAATACATCAAAAGCATACAACCACACTCTATAATCCGAGATTTTTGAAAAAGGGTTTTAAATAACTAATAAAATTCTATACATTTTGGATTTGTTTGATGAAGGTGTAAAGATAAATTCAACAAATTTTTCAACAATTTGAAAAAAAAAATTATAATTTTGATTGCTAGAGGGATTTTTTTTTTTGCAACATATAGTGATAGATTACTATCAAATGAACTATTACAATCATTAAGACAATCCTTCTATATTAGAGGAGAAAACACTCATTAAGAAAAAAATATTCAATAAAACAATGATACCATGTCATTATTGACATACGGTATCACAATCAATATTAAAACCACAGAATAGGACAAGTGAAATGTACTATTCTAACAACCACCAAAAATTGCCACTTCTAGTAACTTTCAAATTGAATTTTAGTGGGATTCAGTATTCTTATTTATTGGTATATATTAGATCGTATTTTATAGTTGACTAATTTCGTGGAGTCTTTTGTAAATATCAACCTATTCCATGGTCATTAAGCTACAACGATGAATATCCCAAAACATACTTGAAGGGAGGAGATCATGTGTCAAAACTACATCAAAAACACTTTGAATGCACCTTCTTATTTAGGACAATGTAATGACCTCGATATTTAAGATGATCTCTTGGTTTAATAGAGTTAGGAGAATTAACGTTACAAATGAAATTAGTATTAGATTTGAGAATGGCTCCTAGGTGTTATTAAAAGAAAAGTTTTTCTAAATCTCTTGTGCATTTTGAAAACATAGGAATGAGCCATCATCGGACCCCTCTTGAGCAACACCCTTTAGTGTTCAAAATGACAAGTTTTTTGATTAATTTTAGGCTTAATAAATCAATAGGGGGCCTGTCTATGCTCGCTAACCTTCACTAGAGTAGTCTCTTCATGACTTAGGAAAAAGATATGTAAAGGCTAAATGGAGGATAGCATGGGTCTCCCTTTGAGGTAGCTCAAGCGGTCTTAGAGGTCGCTCGAGCAGTCCCCTGGTAGCTCAAGCAGTCAAGCTTTCCTAGGTTGGTGTGAAATTCATTTTTCATTCCAGTGACCACCCCTTAGGACTGTCCTCCTATGGCTCAAGCAGTCGTTTACGAATCTGAATTTTTTTGTTGACCTTGATTGTGCTCATTCCAAACCTATAAATGGAAAAAGTCTTTCCTACACTTAGAGTAAGCCTTTTGTGAGTATTTTGAGAGTGAAAATCTTATCTTCTACCTGGAGAGTTTCTACCACAACCTCAGATCCTTAACATCCAAGGCTACTCTCCAGTAATTCTTATTCAACCTCACAATTTGGTGAAGAAGATCTTGATTGGTTGAAGACCAATGTAAAACCCAAATAAATTTAAATTTTTTATGAAAAATGACAATGGTAATTTGTCATTACAGTACGAGTTGTAAATTTAAAATTTTCTAGAACTCAGATGAAGAAATGAACCTAATTATTGGATTCGTCTTGCAAAATCTAGTTACCCCGTCAAATTTCATCAAATTCTGATATAGTCATATTTTTTACGTTTTACGAGGAGATCGAGTCTCGGGTGACCCAAAAACGAAATTTTAAATAAAATTTTGAAATTTGAAAAATAATTTAAGACAAATTAAAATAAAATTATTTTGAACTTGAACCGAGACGAAATTTAATCGTTTCGAGGTGAAAACGGACTCACAAAAAAGAGGGTTGTATGGCGCGTTGTGGGCCAAGTGTTCAAGGGGTATAAATAGGGGGAAAAATCATATTTTCTCCCCCATTCTTCAGCTAGTTCCAACGTGAGAGAGGAAAAGAGGGAAAAGGAAAATTTCTCCGCCTTCTTTCTAAGATCTACGGAGATTGGGTGCTCAAATTCGCTCGAGGCAAGAACAAAAATCGTTTTCCTAACCAAGGGCTACGCGACCACACCAAAAATGACGGGTTTTACCAAAGTTCCAAAATCAAGCTTGAGAAATCAAGGATTTTGGGTGAAATTATGACTCTTGAAGGCTTTTACCAAGTGGATTTACTCTTCAAGAGGTAGAGTTCCCTCCTATTTAGGTTTATTTACAACCTAAAATGCTTATATGAAATAGGTATGTTGATAGGATGCTATATCACTTGCCTATTGTGGTAGATTTAATGAAATGGGTATTGGAATCGGGTAGAGTGAATTCTATCTTGAATTGGGCATGTGAATTTGACACAATGTGATTCATAGAATTTGATATTATGTGGGCATGTTATGTAATTATTTTATGCCTTGAAAATTAAGTGTGTTATTAGCATATGTTATGTGATAACATGCTTGTGAATTGTTATTGAAAAGGAAATGTTGATATATGTGCATTGATATATTGACATTGTGATAAAGTTTGGTAATTATATGCTTTGGATATAAATTGTCATGAAATATGTTTATATGTGGTTAATTTTGCTCATGTGGCATTCTTTACATATGGCTATGACATTGAGATTGCAAATGGTGCATTACATTGCATTTGCACAGGAACATCGCATTCATGGGCATCGTCATGGGTGTGGGCATAAGTGCATGTGTTGGATCAAACATAATACTTGGTGAATGATACGTGAGCTCGGTACAGTTGGACCAGGGTTCAACAGAGTCGCACGGTTGCATGAAAAACTTGTGTCAGGTATAGCAAGTAGGGCTAAACTCTCCCTTGGGTGCAAGACTCGACTACTGGTTTTATACACTTCTTACGGTGCAAGTCCAAAAAGTGTATCGATTTGCGGAGTCGGTGGTGAGACACCAAAAGTCCGCTACCCAACAAAGACACTTGATTTTATTTTATAAAATAGTCATTCGATGTGTAACATCCAACAATGACTTAGTTTTACAACCACATGACTTTATTTCAAAATGATCATTGGATGTAATTCATCAATGATGAATTTTTCATACATTGGCATTGCATTGTGTAGAAGGAGT